CATATGTTTCAATGTCGAAAAACTATCAAGATATATATAATAAAATACAATAGAAATTTATTAAAATTCAATATAGTAGAAGTTCCTTATTCGCGTTCACGGCGACAAATAATGCGATCCGATTCTTATATTCTAAGAACTCGGTTGTTCGCGAATTCCAATTTATATCCAACAGCATATATGTTTTGTAAATGCCGTCATTTTAAACTAATAATAAAACTTTGATATAAGCCGCCTTCGTCCTCTTCGGTGTTTTTTGGGAATGAAAACAACCTTATTTATATCTTATAGAATATAAATTACATTTTTAAATGTTGCTGTTCCATTCTATAGTAAAATTTGACTTAAACCGATATGAAACAAAATATTCCCATTAACCCATTCGAGACTGCGATTTTTTTTTTCGACCGCGGTCCCCAGAAGCGAAATTTTCCGTAGGGTAAGTTATAGTAATCGCAAAGAAATCGAAAATGAAATTTTGTATATATCTTTACGTTTCAAAGGTTTTTGAACATTTTGGCATACCTTAGAAAAAATTGATGTATGTGTGTGTGTGCGTGTGCGGATACAAATTTTCGTCGACAATTTCGGGAACACCGATCAACGGTTTCGAATAATTAAAAAAAACATTCAATTCTTATTCATAAGGAGACGTGCTGATTAGTTTTTGCCGAAGGCAGGTCTAGCCGTTTCGAAGATACGGGCCAAAAACGCGGTAACTCAGTTTTTAAGAGAACGGAGCGTCTGATTTTAAAAACATTTTACTTGTATTGACAAGATGAAGAACTGATTAAATTTTTGGGAAGGCAGGTCCTGCGGTTATGGACTCTCAATAAAAATAAGTTAAAAAAATGTCATTCTGCGGCCAATTTGGTTCCGTACCAAGATTTTGAATTACGGTACGGGAAGTTCCAGCAATTTGCCTTAACACTTTGGGGGCGGCTGTCTACCTCAGTGGACAAACATGCTTCATGAGGCACAGGCTATTTTATAAACAATGACTCAGTTTGGATCGAAACGTTGAATAGATCGCATATATCAGTGATAAACAGTGTTAAATTTTGAAAATAATTATTAGTTATTTTAGAAGTCTTTTACCCTTTTTCTTTGCCATATAGTATTTTTTTTTAAATATGTCAAAACAACCTAGCGCTTTTAAATGTGGCAAAACGACTGGTGAATTTTGTAATGTAAGCAGTAGTGAAGATGAATTTCAAATAGACATTTATACAGACAATTTAGACGAAATAACTATTCGCTCCGAAGATAGTGATGAATGTGATGATGATATTATCCAACCAACAAGAAGAAGAAGAAGTTTGACAAATAGTGAAACCGATACAAGTAGTGAAACAGAAAATATCTTTATAAATGACAAATTAAATGAAGAATGGAAAGACATTAGCGAATGTGCCGATTCTCCTTCAATAATCGAGTTTGACATACATCAACAAACACCGGGCCACAAATACCAAGCAATATAAGGCATCCAATAGATTATTTTACTTTATATTTTACTAATGAATTAATAGACAATATAATAGAAAACACAAACCATTATGCCAACAAAAAATGAACAAACAATTATCAAGTGGCAACAAGTGGCATGATGTTACCAAGCAAGAAAGTTTAGCTTTTGTGGCCGTCATTCTAAATATGGGTTTGATACACCAGCCAAATCTCAAATAATATTGGTCTACTGATTCTATTAGTAAAATTCCTTTTTTTCCTGAAACATTCAGTAGGGACAGATTTTTAAAAATCTTTCGGATGCTTCATTTGAATAAAGATGCGCAAAGCGATAACACAATCGACACTCGTATTCAAAAGGTCAGCAATTATTTAAATATATAAATTCTAAATTAAGTGAATATTTTATACCTTATAAAGCAATTTGTGTCGACGAATCAGTGATAAAATTCAAAGGAAGAGTATCATTTCTAACGTATAATCCAAATAACCCGACTAAATAGGGTATACTAGTATATGCATTAGCTTTCTTCCTTATTTTGGCAGCCATACATCCCAAAAATATCTCCCACGCAATAAAGAAAATAATATAAACAAGAAATAAATTTTTAGAAAAATGTCTAAAGGTAATAAAGTAATGTAACACAGTAATGAAAAAGAAAATACAATTTGTAAATACATGTTTGGGAAACAGCACACCGGCCTGAAAATAATTATTAGTAGATTTCGAAATTCCAAACAAAATGTTTTGTTTTGTTTTGGTACGTAATAAAACCAATGCCAATTTTTGTTTTTCTATACCTGACAAATACTTTTATACTCATTTTAAAATATTACGGCCTTACGACAAGTCGTTTAATTTTAAAAATTCTTCAAAGTTTACAAAAACTAGTATCGTTTTTTTTGGCATTTGTTAAAATTAAACCTTTCATCGACATTTGCTCAAAAACGCCTGAAGCGATTTCAGAAATTTAAAAGCTATTTGATGTATCTCAATGAGGACTATCGTTGGTCAGTTTCGTGCTGATTTGCCAAACCTCTTCTTTGTAATATGGAAAAAAGTGTTAAACTTTTCGTCTACATGTAAGCTCATACTACCGAATCGACTTAAAAAAATCAAAAACTGTTCGAAAGATATTAGTTGGGAATGATACTGGATTAGTTTAAGTACAAATCTACCGAGCCGTTTTCTTGTAGATAACTGTTAAAATGGTAAAAATTTAAGCCGATTTTTATGGAACTTTTTTGGCGATATATATCATGGTCTTATAGAATAAAAATTTATCAAAGTTTGAGAAAATGAGTATAGTTTTTTTGACGTTTGTTAAAATTAAAATTAGACGATTTACTTTGTATAACGATAGACTACTTGGTCTTAATGAACATACTAAACCATTAAAGTGCTACGGAAACTGGTTCAATTATAAAAATTATTGATTTTTGAAAATTTGCTTTTAGAAAAGCGTTCGTTCTTTTTCAATTATGTGTAATAAATCCACTTGGAATACTGTAATCACTCATGAATTAATTTATTTTTTATTGATTAAGTCGATTATTTACACATATCGGGAAGTTCATGTAACTTGCCTCAAGGCAAAATACCAATACCAACTATAGTTATTATCAGTGGTGTTGTGTTAATATTTTTTTGCCGGAACGCTAAAATTTAAAAACCGGTTTTCATGTTTGTTCCGGTTCCTTTCGAAAAGGAAAAAAACAAAAATTATTACAAAACCCATTTGTGCTCATATATGTATATTTATTACAATAATAGGTACATTTAATAAAAAATAGTTGAATTATAATTTTGAAAATTCTCTTATTAAATTATTTTCTGTATGTAGCGATTTTTTAATTTTTTTTACCGGAACGCGTTCCGGCCCAAAAATAATTTGCCGGAACGACGTTCCGGCTCGACAACACCACTGGTTATTATTGCACGCACGGTGTGCAACGGGTCTCGAATGGGTTAAAGAAGAGCAATTCAATTTCTTCAAGCAATAAAAAGGTGACATTTAATTTGAAAAATCATAGAGAAGATAAAAATTAGTGTGATTTCTATATGAATATTGATCCGTCTGTGGGGCAAAGCCTTTCTTCTTAGAGGCAATTTTTTTATGCGCAATGTGCCTGCCGAGTATCATTTTGAAATGAAGAAGCTATTAAAAACTTCAAACTATCTTCAAACTATTGCTTCACCCTGGACATAATTAATAATTGTTCAAAAACTACAATTAAAAATATTTTTTTCATATATTCTTTTTTCTTTATTTTATCTTTGACCTTGGAACGTATTCCCTATAATCCCATGTAAATTATCAACCTGTATTCAAGGATCCTGTATTCTTTATTCGCGCCATCTTCATGGAACGTACCTCCCGCGAATAAGGAGCCTCTACTGTACGTCATTTAGACTTGGAATTATACGCTGCAGTTATTTGCTTACCATACCGAAAAGACATATTTTTCGTGGAGAAGTTTCGTGTGGCCTATTGTTGGTACCTAATTGGAATACAACCCTTAAAACTCAAGTCAAATCAAAATTGAATTCAAACGGCCTCAGAAACTTAGTTTACCAAGTAAAAATATCAAACTGTGAACTTATTTATTAGATAGTTTATTTATTACATACATTATTTTAATAATAAATTGGAAAATCACAAATGTCAACATCTGTGTTTCGTTCTTTGAGATGTGATGTTCCAATTTATTTGTTTTTTTTTTTGCTTTAATTAACTTTAGAAATATAATTTATATTCACTAACGTGTTTTGTTATAAGTAACAATTTTCTTTTACACGTTTTTATTTAGTGTTTAGTGCATAATTGCTTATGTGTTCTATTGCCACTGAAGAAGAGTCAAATTGGGACTCCAAACGTATGGACTATTATTAAATTTACTTCAAGAAACATAATTTAGTTTTTTCTTTATCATCTGGATGGATGCTTGTTTTAAAAGTTTTTTGGTTTTATTAACATATCACCATCCGAAGAAAATTACAATTTTTATTTAATTTCCATACGTTTTTAAAAAAATATATCAACATCAAATTCAAGACTATTCAAAAAAATGTATATGTATATATATATATATATATATATATATATATATATATATATATATATACATATATATGGATATACTTGTACTTAATACTTGTAAAACAAACTGTAAACGAATAATATGTCTGTATGAGAAGAGCCTTTTTTTTTAAAAAAAAGATTTTATTTTAATTTAATAGGTTTATTAAAAATGTCATAACTTCCCAGTAAACACGCGATGTGATCTTCTATAATATCGACATCGTTATTATAATGCGGTTATCGAATCTACGCCACAAGAGGATTTTAAACTTGCGTGCGCTTGTGTGTGTTACAATACACGCAAAGCTCGCATTGAGTTGTCTCACGAGACATAAACACGCGCTGTCGGGGTTGATGACATCGTTGAATTTCATGTGAGATACATGTCGTGCGCTGGTGTGTGTTAGCACACATGCAAAGCATAATCAATGACGTCAACGGCGTGAAGCAAACGCGTCGTGCGCTGCGTTGTGTGCGTTGTGTGCTGGTGTGTGTGACCATACAAAGAAAGCTTTACATCAGCGCGCCGTGGCCACTGGTGGAACCGACTGTTTCTTTGACGAAAGCTAAACTAACCGCTTACAAAATGGCGCAATATGTCACGAATTTATCATGCATCAAGTTATATTTTCTTTAGTATAATAATTACATTCGTTTAGTTAAGCAACTTGTTTATGATAATTGTAGAAAAGTGTAGAAAAATGACACTGTAAGTATATCATATATTATTTATATAGATATGTAATTACTTCACGATTTTGAATTCCATTTAGTGCATTATATCCTGGGATGAAGAAACGTTATTTTATGTCGATTTCTTTAGATGACAAAGGAGGTAACCAAATAGCATATCTTACAAAATCTGAGGACAATAATAAGGATCGTTTATCAAGGTTAAAATAATTATTTTACTAAATTAAGACATTAACATATCCATGTGTTCGACATAACCTCACTTCTTAAATCTCTTAAATTAGTCGGTTGAGAAGCGGATCGAGAATGATTGTTTGAATATGTAAGTCACTACAAATATAATAGCTATACAAATATATATAAACAGCAAACACGTATGCCATGTTCATATTTATTTCAGAAGTCGTACAAAATTGGAATGAAACGATGAACAATATACAGATCTTTAGACAGGCTCAAATAATGTATGTTTAGGAGCAACTTGAAGATAATGGAGATTTATCTTCTTAATATGTAAGTTGATTCATATATAGTTGCTGTATATATATTATTTGGTAACAAATACATTATATTTATAATTGTTTTAGAAAACCTCTAAAATTGGGAACAGTATGTCATATATGCATGAACTTGATTGATGTATTGATGTATAATGAACTGAAGATATAATGAATTCAATCAGGTTAACCACTTAACGGTCGGGTTTTTTTTCGTGAAAAGTGATCTAAAAGAGCAGGTTTTTTTATTGTGGATTTTCAAAGTTTAATTAATGTAATATGTGTTTCTGATAACATTTTCTTTTTATTTATTTTATTTTTGTTTAAAATTAACAATATATATTATAATACTGATGACCGCTTTGATGGTTTTTGGACTACCTTTATGCTCTATGTATAAACTATTGTGTTATAATATGATAAATAATACGAAATTTTTATTTAATAACTTTTAAATTTTAATAATATCTATTTATCTGGAAATAATATAACAAATTTATAAACAAATAAGAAAATTCAAGTAAATCAGTCATTCAGGTGAAAAATTCATGTACAATCACTAATATATCTCAAGGACAAAAAGTATTACTTATTTAATTATTTATATTATAATAATAAAAAAATATTATCATATGATGGATTTCGAAACATTTTTCCACTGCCCGTTTTTTAGGCGGTTTTTACATGTTTAATTCTATTCTCAAAAGTCGTTAAAGATTGATTTATTATATATACAATTATTAATTGATCTGTACTTATCATATCTAAACTAAACATATCTCAACAACGGGCCATTGTAAGCCTTTTATCGCATAAAACATAAACATTAACTTTGGCGAGCAGCGCTCGGGTTAGCCCGCTAGGATACGACAACTAGGCGCGAGCAGTGTTCGTGCGTACCCGTTAAGTGGTTAAAAAAAATGTATGTGCAAAAGCGACTCGAAGACGATTTAGATTTGTCTCCTGAATATGTAAGTTGCTACACATATGGAGTGGTATATATATTATTAGATTCAATAAAACACATTATGTTTCAAATTGTTTTAGAAAACTTCCAAGAAGTACATCATATATGAATATCCTGTATCCTCGCATTTGATGTAATGAACTGGCGATAGAATGAAATCAGTCAGTGTTAAAAATGTATGTGTAAAAGCGACTTTAAGATGATGGAGATTTGTACACTGAACATGTAGGTAGCTACACATATGGTAGCTGTATATATATATTATATTATATACAGTAAATCACATTATGTTTGAATTTGTTTTAGAAAACTTCCAAAATTTGGGGCAGTATGTCATATGTGCATAATCTGTATCCTGGCATTTGATGCAATGAACTGGCGATAGAATGAAATAATGAAAAATAGGCAGGCTGTTTGATGTATAAGGAAGTGGCGATAGAATACTTATGCAACACTTCACACTTCATGCCCCAAAAATAGAATTACGTTCATTAGATATACAACAATTTTCATTAAATATACTGTTATTAATATGTTAAGATTGAATAATTTGTAAAAAGTTTTCTAGTATAGTTCATGTTAAAATTTTATAATTTCAAAACTACAATTCTAATTTGTAATATTTAAATATTGTAAAATTTCTTATTATTCACGTAAATAAATGCTTATTCGTACAGAAAAGAATATTAATTGCATTACGTCATCACTTTCAGGTGCTATTACGTCATGAGTCGCCATTTTGTATGACGTCATGACCGAATCGTTTTCATTCGCCAATGACGTCATGACTGGGGTGAACGCCTTACGTCAGACGGTCTTATCATAATAAACAAACATATGTGGGTCAACGTCGATTTTCATGTATCACGAACGCCACGTGCGCCAGAGACCGAACCTCGATAGTTGTTCGATAGTTACATAAATTTGCGGCCGTATCCATTAAATATCGAGGACAATGAATATGGGAACCGCATGTCACACGACCTAAATAAAATATTGCCACGATGTTGTGGCCATATCGCATGTTTACTGGGTTGATGTTATACCATTTGGTCTTTATATATTTTCGTGTTTTACTTTAATTTATTTGTATGCACTGAAGATGGGCCAAATCAAGACCCGAAACGTATGATATTACAATAAAAACATTTTTCTACAATAAAATTGTTTTAATTATTGGATGGATGCCCAAGAACAACTTTGTCATATGTGTAATATGTATGTATGTATACATATTACATTTTTTTGTTCAGTGAGACATATTCTTGAAATGTTTAATTGCAACTAACTAAGTCGAAATAAAAAGCAATAAATAAAATATTTATTATGTACGTTGCGACACTGTATGTGTGTCATCACTTGAACATAATTAACACAATATTTAAAGACATTGTTTCATGAAAAAAAGAACCAATAAAATAAAATAAGGAACTAAAATTTTAATAACGAAATTATGTAGTAAGCCCATAGACCTTATAATCTAACACTCATCTTGTTTTCAGCAATATGAATATGCGCCGTTCTATCAATTTGTTTGTGTAATGAAGACGTTGATGATTTTTGAATTACAGGCTCAAATTTCGTCCGTTTCTCATTGGAGGTTCTGCTATTCAAATCACCGAGAATAACAGGCATGTTGTCCTCAAAAAAGTGAGGTATAATTTAAAAAAGTTTTTTAAATTTTACATGATTTCATTTATTTGCTCAATTGTCTTTGACATAACTTAATGTGTACACATACATTATAGTATATTTCCAATAGGAAAAAGTTTTTGCGATAATATTTCACCTACAATTAGTGACTAGCTGTGCTGCATCAGAATTATTACAAAATTTTCTCTTCATGTAGTTGAGGGCATCACGTAATTTATTGATACGCTTGTTTTTGGCTCCAACTTGTCTCATGAGTTTATGAATGGTTTTGTTTTGCACAGTAATCCATTTCTTCAAAAACTCTATAGATGTTCTTACTCAATTTGATGTCCTTATGTCTTGAGTACGAATATCGCCGGGATAGCGTGGTTTTCTGCGTGAAACTGAGGTTGATGCCACCATTAATTCATTATCGTTGAATGACAATTGAGAGAGGCCAGTATCTATAAAACATTAAATATTCTTTTGTAATATGCATATTACATAGTTTACATTATGTTGTTGATTACATAAGATGTACTATATCACATGTGCATTACACTAGATTATTTAGCATACACTAGATTATTTAAAATTTGTATACTTTTTTGCTGGAAGGCATAGGTGCCGCTCAAGAAAATTTTGTGCAAATTGTAAATTTGAAGCAACATTTCTTAGTAAGATGATGTAAGCTTGAGAAAAAAATTGAACATCGAGATGCTGTATTGAAATACTTAATGAGAATGCAACTCACTCGGTAATCAGGCCCAATGATGTAATGCTATCTTGTTGCACTATTTTTCACAAAAAAAATTGGCCGATGCGAAATGCCTACTTCAAAGCTGATGCGCTTCAATTTTTATCCTCAGGGATTTCTTGGTGATATTAAATAGCTATAGCCAACTGTTCTCCTTTTTAGAAAACCTGTAGATGAACAACAAGATATAGTCTATATCATATAACCCCACATATAACTTCCCAGAAACTTATTAAATTTCAGAATTATAAGACTATTTAATTTAATTTAACTTCATTAACATTCATTATTATATTAATTTCATGAATTTATTGTAAAACAAACTTTATCATTTGAAAAATCAAAGTTTGTTATTTACTTTTTAAAAGTAAATGTAGTTCAAATGTTATGAAATTCTCATTTCCAATCGAAATGAGAACTTAAAATGTATTATTATTTACAATTATTGAATTTTATCTACAGGAAAGCTTGTAAATGAACAAGATTTTTTTTAAAATATAGTTCCAGGATATAATGTACAAAGATATAATTTACATAATACAAAGTTACCCTATGAAACGTTACTCCTTTGCCATGTGAATTAGGCACTTGTCCACGCATCAAACAATAGTGCGTCCCATAAGACATTTTGAAATCTGCTTTTTGTCTTCCCAACAATTTCAAACATCCTAGTGCCCCACCAACCTAAAAAAAGCCATTTATAGGAATTAAAAAAAAAGAAAAGAAAAAGTGAATCTATCTATTCAAAATTTGAGGGTATATTTATACATGTTTTGAGAATACACAGTAAAATTTTTGAAATAAAATATTAAATATTTTTGAAATGACACGCAATCTCCGGCGGCGCCAAAAAAAAGTCCACTGCTGGAGTGATTGCAGCCTTCTCCGTTGATAAAACATAAAAAATATCTACTAAATTAATTAAATAAATTAACTAACATATACGTATAAATTATATTATACAGTATAATTATATAATTATAATTAAAAAATTAAAGTTAAACTAAATCATATTATCTGTACGATGACCCTCGGGCGTACAAAAAATAAAAAACTGACAAAATGGCGGCGTGCTGAAAAAAAAATCCCAAAATTTTGGTGGTTTTTGACCTGCCAATATTTGATTTTTTTGATCAGATCAAAAAACTGGAGGGTCATCGTGTGGAGAACTACATAGAGGAGATGTAAAAAAAACTTATAGCGATCGGATCATGACAAACGATCGAATTTTATAGGATCGAATGTAGACTAACATTTTTTTTTTTATGTTAATGTGTGCAGTTCTGCATTAGTTTATGCTGTGATTATTATGAGATGTTGCTGTTATCGATAAATTTTGTAAATTTGATCACTTTAAATAATTTTTCTCTAACGGAACATCTTCGAACAAAAAAGATTCAAGCTCTCATTGCTTTGAGGCGTTTGTTCAAGTTTATTTGGAATGATTCGCCTTCGTTCGTGTTCGTTCCGCTTTGTATTTAGGTGCGTCCACACCTAACGAACGAACACGAACGAACATAAAAGAACGTGCCAGAACGAACGGCAACAGCATACGTGGCGCCACGACGATCACGAACGAACATAAACAAACATGGCGAGCAATGTTCCGCAACTTGTCGGTACATCAAAGGGAATTGTTCGTTCGTGTTGGTACTCGTATTTGCAGTGTGGACGTCTCAACGAACGCAAACGAACATTTTTGTTTTAATAATTTTAATAATTTAATAATAATTTTTTAATAATTTAATAATAATTTAATAATATTTACTTTTAATTATTGTGTACAGTTTGAAAATTTTGAATAATGAAATTTGGAATGGTCAAATGACGTAAT